GCCTTGAACACATAATTCATGCTGACACTTCAATGCAGTGCAAAGGAAGTGCTGCACTACCTGAAGTGACATGTTCCAGATGAGGCATTAAACCGAGGCCCTCTCAAGTGGATGTGAAAACTATGCATTTATTTCAAAGAAAAATAAAAGACAGGGAGTTTACCTGGCTAATGATTATCCCTCTAGCAAGATCACTAAAATCAAATTAAATGGTTCAATTATGTCTTTGCTGTACATAGGATCTTAAAGTGTACACTGTATTTGCTGTGTTTCCTATTGTACAATAGTGACTGTACTTCTGAAAATGCTTAACTGTTGGTAAAGAGTTTATTATGAGCTGAGTTTAAGGAAAGTGCTTTCTGAATCAACCTGTTTTGTTCTTTAGCACATAATGGCATGTACACTCAAAAATAAATTGCTTTTGTTTTGTACCTAACATAGCAATATGTTCCATGTACTTGAGACAACATGGTGCAGAGCTGGATGAACACAGCAGGCCAAGCAGCATCAGAGGAGCAGGAAAGCTGACGTTTCGGGTCTAGACCCTTCTTTAGAAATGGGGGAGGGGTAGGGGATTCTGAAATAAATAGGGAGAAAGGGGGAGGCGGATAGGAGATGGATAAAGGAGAAGATAGGTGGAAAGGAGACAGACAGGTCAAGGCGGCGGGGTTGGAGCTAGTAAAGGTGAGTGTAGGTGGGGAGTTAGGGAGGGGATAGGTCAGTCCAGGGAGGACGGACAGGGCAAGGAGGTGGGATGAGGCTAGTAGGTAGGAGTTGGGGGTGGGGCTTGAGGTGGGAGGAGTGGATAGGTGGGAGGACAGTTTAGGGAGGTGGGTACGAGCTGGGCTGGTTTTGGGATGCGGTCAGGGGAGGGGAGATTTTGAAGCTTGTGAAGTCCACATTGATACCATTGGGCTGCAGGGTTCCCAAGCGAAATATGAGATGCTGTTCCTGCAACCTTCGGGTGGCATTGGTTTTGTGGAACCAAGCGGAGGCTTGGGGACCACTTTGCAGAACACCTACGCTCGGTTCTCACCAAACAACTGCACCTCCCAGTTGTGAACCACTTCAACTCCCCCTCCCACTCCTTGGACGACATGTCCATCCTGGGCCTCCTGCAGTGCCACAACGATGCCACCCGAAGTTTGCAGGAACAGCACCTCATATTTCGCTTGGGAACCCTGCAGCCCAATGGTATCAATGTGGACTTCACAAGCTTCAAAATCTCCCCTCCCCCAACTGCATCCCAAAACCAGCCCAGCTCATACCCGCCTCCCTAACCTGTCCTCCCACCTATCCACTCCTCCCACCTCAAGCCCAACCCCCATCTCCTACCTACTAGCCTCATCCCACCTCCTTGACCTGTCCGTCCTCCCTGGACTGACCTATCCCCTCCCTAACTCCCTACCTACACACACCTTTACTAGCTCCAACCCCGCCTCCTTGACCTGTCTGTCTCCTCTCCACCTATCTTCTCCTTTATACATCTCCTATCCGCCTCCCCCTTTCTCCCTATTTATTTCAGAATCCCCTTCCCCTCCCCCATTTCTGAAGAAGGGTCTAGACGCGAAACATCAGCTTTCCTGCTCCTCTGATGCTGCTTGGCCTGCTGTGTTCATCCAGCTGTACACCTTGTTGTCTCAGATTCTCTAGCATCGGCAGTTCCTACTATCTCTGTTCCATGTACTTTACAGGACAGCAGTCAAAAAAAAGTTTGATGCTGAATTACAAGATTAGAATCATAGAATGCGTGATCAAAAACTGGCCAAAACCATACATTTGAAGCAGCTTTATAAAAGAAACGTAGGAACTCAGGAACACAGGAACTCAGCCCCTCAAGCCTTTTCTTTCATTCAATGACATCATGGCTGATCTGTGGTCGAACTCAATATACCTGTCTTTGCCTCATATCCCTTAATATCTGTGTTTAACAAAAAATAATCTATCTCAGATTTTAAATTGATATTAAGATGTGGAGAGATTTCCAGAAAGAACTACAGTGTTTTAGGATCAAACAGCTAAAAGTGTGGAGCGATGAAAATCAGGAATGTGCAAGAAGCCAAAATTGGAGGAACACAGAGACCTGAAACAGATGTAGGGCCAGAGGAGTTTACTGAGATAGGGAGGGGCAGAGGCTATGGAGGGATTTGGAGGTAAAGATGTGAATTTTAAAATTGAGGCAGTGCCTAACTGGTAGACAAATATAGGGGTGATCATGAATAGAATATTTTATTTAATAGAGGAACAAGAAGGTAATTTGTAAGTATAAAGTAGTACAAGTGTGTTAGTTATGTTGATGAAGTATCCTAACTGATTCAATTAACAGTGACTAAGTTGTAGTTCAGTACGAGGAAGAATAAGGTACAGAATTTAGCTCAGATCTAAAAACTACACAGAATCAACGAAACACAAGAATATCTTCCTCAATAATAATGATTTTGTTTTGCTACTACAATTCTATCATTGCTTGTAGTCAAAATTTTCATCATTAACAGAACAGTAACTTGATTTCAGAATTTGCATTAAATGGGTTATTGAATTGAATTAGCTTTATTGTTATAGAGTCGTAGAGTCATGGAGTGATATAGCCCTTTGGCCCAAACTAGTCCGTGCTGACCATGGTGCCCACTCAGCTAGTTCCAGTTGCTTGGATTTGGTCCATATCCCTCTAAACCCTTCCCATCCATGTACTTATCCAAATGTTTTTTCAATGTTGCTATTGTACCTGCCTCAACCACTTTCTCTGCCAGCTCATTCTGTATACGCAGTACTCTTTGCATGAAGAAGTTGCTCCTCAGGTCCTTCTTAAATTTTTCCTATCTCACCTTAAATCTATGTCCTCTAGTTTTCAATTCCCCATCCCTGGGAAAAAGTCTGTATGCATTTGTTCTATCTATGCTCCTCATGATTTTATACACCTAATAAGGTCACCTCTCATTCTACTACTTTCCAAGGAATAAAGTTCTGTACTGACTAACCTCTCCCTATAATTCAGGCTTACTAGTCCTGGAAACATCCTCGTAAATTTTCTTTGCACACTTTTTAGTTTACCTACGTCCTTCTTATAACAGGGTGACAAAAACTGTACACAATACACCAAGTGCGGCCTCACCAATGATAGTAATATAATGTCCCAACTCCTATACTCAATGCTTCGACCGATGAAGGCCAGCATGAAAAAATGTCTTCTTCACCACCCTGTCTACCTGTGACGCCACTTTTAACAAACTATGTACTTGTACTCCGGTCCCTCTGTTCCAAACACTCCTCAGGACCTTACCATTTACTGTATAAGTCTATCTTGGTTTGACTTTCCATAGTGCAACACCTCACACGTATCTGTTTTGAATTGCATTTGCCTATCCTCAGCTCACTTTCCCATCTGATCAAGATCCCTCTAATTTTGGTAACCTTCTGTGCTATCAACGATACCTCCTAATTTTGTATCATCCGCAAACTTACTAATCATGCCTTGTGTATTCACGTCCAGATCATTTATGTAAATAACAACTAACAAAGGTCCCAGCACCGACCCCTGTGGCAAACCACTACTCAGAGGCCTCCTGTCTGAGAAACAACCTTCAACAATCATCCTCTGCTTCCTACCATCGAGCCAATTTTAAATCCAATTGGCCAGATCTCCCTGGATCCCATTCAACCTAACATTTATAACTAGCCTGCCCTGCGGGACCTTGTAGAAGGCCTTACTAAAATCCATTTGGACAAAATCCACTGCCCTACCCTCGTCCATCCTCTTGGTTACCTCTTCGAAAAACTCTAAAAAATTTGTCAGACATGACTTTTGACAATCTTGACGATCCAAATGTTGGTTGATCCTGTCCCTCAGTATCCTGTCAAATAACTTGCCTCCTACTGATGTCAGGCTCACTGGTCTGTCGTTCCCTGGCTTGTCTTTGCTACCTTTCTTAAACAATAGAACAACATTACCCACCCTTCAGTCTTCCAGAACTTCACCAGTGGCTAAAGATCTCTGCAAGGGCCTCTGCAATTTCTTCCCTAGCCTCCCACAATATCCAAGTATGGACTTGATCAGGCCCAGGGCATTTATCCACCTGAATTCATAGAATCCATAGAATCCCTACAGTGTGGAAGCAAGCCATTAGGCCTATCGAGTCTACACCGAACTTCTGAAGAGCTTCCCACACATACCCACCCCCTACCCTATCCCTGCATTTCTCACCATAGTCACAATGGGCAATTTAGCATAGCCAATCCACCTAACCTGCACATCTTTGGACTGTGGGAGGAAACCGGAGCACTCAGAGGAAACCCATGCAGACATGGGGAGAATGTGCAAATCCACCCAGACAGTCGCACTTTGAGGCTGCAACCGCCTTTCTAGTTCCAGCTGTGAACATTTAATTCTTTTGTACGCGAGATTAAATGTTTACTGGTGATTTAGAAAGTCAAATAGTTTGATAGTTTTCTTGACATTTTTGTGAAAAATCTATTTGATTGAGTTCAATTCAGTATTACAAGAACACAGCCTTTGTTGAACTCAATTGACTTAACACTAATATGCAACTTCAAAGATTAAAATATGTCCATTTGTTTTTTAATCAGCTTTTAGAGTAGTATGGCAGTATGGGTTCCTATTTTCTTGACATTTTAGATGTGGTTATGTAAATATAATGTACAACATAATGTACAGCTGGTTAGCAACTAGGATTAAAGCTGTTCACTCTTCCTCTGTACTTTGCTGGGTCTGTCTCTGGGTCGTGTAATCTTTCTTTCCTTTTCCTATTGTTAACACGCTTTGTACATGTTTAAACAGTTAACATCCTGTCCTTGACATTATGCCACGTAATACCACATGCAAATACTTTCATCTGCTATTTGCTGTGGATGTGCCCACACAGTTGAGACAAACAGGTTTAGTATCTGCACTTGTTAAACAAACTTATAGTCACACTGCACCATAAATTAACTAAAATATGGCAAGGCCTTTCACAGGAGCGTTACATTAAAAAAATGACAACATGTCGTACGAGACGATATTAGGTTAGATGACCTAATATCAATTATGTCAATTAAGACAAATCTTCAAGGAAGAAAATGAGGTAGAGAAGTGTAGGGAGGGTATTCTGGAGCTTAGGGCAATTGAATGCACAGACCCCAAAGGTGAGGTGATTAAAATCAAGGATGCTGAAGAGGCTGACATTAGAGCAAGCACAGATATTTCAGTGTTTGTGGGTCTAGAGGAAATTACAGAGAAAGGGAACGGTGAAGCCATTGGAGGGATTTGATACATGGATGAGAATTTCAAAATCAGGACATTACTTAACTGCAAACCAACATGTGTGCGTAATGTTGTCTGACAGTTTGAAGGATGGAGTGCTACAGAGTTGGAAGTGCTGCCTTTTGATGCAATTTTACACTGAGGGCCCACTTGCCTTCACAGGTAGAAGTAAAAAAATTCCACGTGCTGTTTCGAAGAAGAGTACGGGCGTTTTCTCTGTTGCTTTCACTATTAGATCCCTTTCAACAAACATTACAGATATTTTCAAAATCAACCTGTTCAGAGATGTTATTACACACTTCTAAAGCAGGTGGTACTTAAGCCTGGACTTCCTGATTCATAGGAAGGAACGTTACCACAGCATCTTACCAGTTATATTGTTGGCTGTGGGAGCTTGCTAGCTATGACATAAATTGGCAGTTGTATTTTCAACACTGCAACAATGACTGTACTTCAAAAGCACATTATTATTGCACCGCAAGGCATCCTGAGCTCATGCAAAATATATGTTCTTTCTTCTTAAACTGTGAGGTAAGACAAGGTAACCCATGTTTAAACAGGTTTAAATTATACTTTTAGGCTTCCATTTTGGGATCTGACTTTGTCCAGTAGTAGACTTGTGTTAGGCAATCCTTTTTCACACAAAGTGTGATCAGCATCTGGTACAAGATTATAGAGGAAAATAAACATTTTCTGTGGCTTTTCTGTAAAATCCCTGCATGAATATACCCTGTCTGATTTTGAAGCGGGAGGAAATGCTAAAATTGAGTGCTTTTTTAAACCAAATCAAGCAAGGTCTAATTATGATGCAAACTACTTTATTCAGGAGCTGACCTTGTTTGCTGAAATGATTAAATGTCACAGATCCAACTAAACTCAATGTAACTAGACTGAAGGTTACTGGCAAACCACCTCCCATTTGCACGTGGTCCATTGCAGATTGATTGCTTCATGTTTTTACTGACCTAAACATCAAAGATTTGCCATTCTGGAAGCTTTCCTTGATGTGTGGGACTCTGTTACATGAAAAAGGAATGACTTTCATTTTATAATATTGAAGGATCCTTAAGTATTTTATTGTCAATGAAGTACTTTTTAAAGCGCACTCACTGTTGTGGTCTTGGAAACATGGAAGCCAGTTAAGTACAGCAAACTTCCACAAACTGCTTTGTGGTAATGAACCCAGAGGAAGTACAGTTAAGGTGTATCTCAGTACATGTGACAATAATGAATCAGATCAAATCAAGATCTCCCTCAAAATTGAGGCCAAGTGCCAAGTTTTTTAATTGTGTTTGAACAATTTCAGTATTTGAAGAAAGGGACTGGACGCATTTTTCATTTCAGTGGAAAAATTGCAAGTCAAATGAAGTGGCCTATAGAAAACTGGACACTGCTAATGCAGAACACAATACCAGCCAAAGCTGTGAGGTTTATGCCATGTTTTTGGAGAAGAATTTCACAGATTATAAAGTGACTATTCTCATTGGTTATGATTTGGTCCTGAAGCTTACAGACAGACATTTTGAAACCTTTGTAAGCAGCTCAAGCAGACTTACAAGAGTCTGAGAGGGCAAAACAACTGATGGCTGCAGACACTTAAAGTAAACGCCATGTATGAAAGTCTCATGAAGATAATTCACCTTGAAGAATGTCAATTTTTTTTTCCTATTATGATATGTGCAGAAAACCAAAAGTTTTAAAAACCTAGATAAGTAGCTCGTGTGACTGTTGATTACAAGCTTGTCCACAAATCCTTATCCGAATGAAAACCCTTTTACCTTCACACCCACAAAGCTAAGGAGGACAGAGTTGGAGGCTGAAAGCAAGGTGAACATCTAGGGTCAAGAATTGATGCTGGGAACACTGTCGAGTTAACCACATCAAGCTCCCATAAATTGTGTTGTAATAATGACCAGAAAGTATAGTTTTAGTGATGTGAGTCGACAGATAAATGTTGGCACGGACACTGGAGAGGACATCCATGCTGTTCTTTAAAATAAAACTACTGCACCACACTAGAACGTTAGTCTTAATTCTGTCCATTTGTTTGTGGAGTGGCATTTGAATGTAATTTCTTTTATTTGAATTAAGAATAGTATGCATTGGGCCAAAGCTGACACCACTAGAGAATCAATAGTGTAAAACTTGGCACCAAATAAGCTACTGAGATTTTTTTTTTAAACATTATTTTGTTTCTCATCTTAAGGTGTGGAAATTCCAACTTCACTTCATGCTTGCAAAATTTAGTTATCCTCTTAGTTTACCATGAAGTCAATGTTCTTATCAGTTGACTTAAATTCCTCTAAATGTTTAAAATTTTACTGAGATTATCAGTGCATCATCTATGAAAGTGAAAATTTGCGCAAAATTTATTGATTACGTTCTGTTTACAATCTTTTGTGAGAATCAGTGGATAGAAAATGAAACAAAAGCAACAGCTGTAATCAAAGGACTAGAAATTTCAGTTTATTTCGGAGGATTAGTTAATAATTATTTCTAGTAGTATTAATGTAATGAGATCTCAGTTACCTGTAAGAATAATAGGGTGGTAATGGTAAGGCATTTTAACTTTCCAAACATAGACTGGGACTCCCATACTGTTAAGGGGTGGGATGGAAAGGAACTTGTGAAGCGTGTACAAGAACATTTTCTTCTTCAGTATGCGAATGTACCTACGAGAGGATGAGCAAAACCTGACCTTATCTTGGGAAATAAGGCAAGGCAAGTGGGGGCACTTTGGGGCAAATGACCATAATCCTATTATTTTTAAAATAGTTATGGAAAAGGATAGACTTCTTTTGGAGAAGTCCAAAAGTTAAAGTTCTAAATTGGAGGAAGGCCAGTTTTGACGTTATTAGGCAAGAACTTTCAAATGTTGATTGGGGCAGATATTCACAGGTAAAGAGATTGCTGGAAAGTGGGAAGCCTTCAAAAATGATATAATGAGAGCCCAGAGACAGTGAGTTCCTGTTAGAGTGAAGGGGCCTCCTATCTGTGGAACTGCAGGAGATGGGTGAGATACCAAACAAATATTTTGCATCAGTGTTTACTGTAGAGAAGGATATGGAAGCTAGAGAACTTGAGGAAATAAGTGGTGATATCTTGAAAAGTGTCCATTTTACAGAGGAGGGGGTGCTAAATGTTTTAAAATGCATAAATGTGGGAACCTAAGGAAGTGATTGCTGGGCCCTTTGCTGAGATATCGATAGCCACGGGTAAGGTGCTGGAAGATTGGAGGTTGCTAACGTGGTGCCATTATTTAAGAAAGGAAAAGCCTTTCTGGCCTGCAAGGTCAGGTTATTATTGTGTCTGCGTAATAGGATCCAGAATGTTGGACATATTGCAAATTGACTTGTGTCAGCTAATATATACCTAAAGTTGTGGCATGGTGGCTCAGTGGATAGCACTGCTGTCTCACAGTGCTGGGGACCTGGGTTTGATTCCAGCCTTGGGAGCTGTCTGTGTGGAGTTTGTACATTCTCCTTGTGTCTGTGTGGGTTTCCTCTGGGTGCTCTGCTTTCTTCCCACAGTCTAAAGATGTGCAGGTTAGGTCAATTGCCTATGCTAAATTGCCCATGGTATCTAGGGTGGGAAATGCCGAGACAGGGTAGGGTGTGGGTCTGGGTGGGAAGCTCTTCGGAAGGTTGTTGTGGACTTGATGGCCTGAATGGCCTGATTCCACACTGTAGGGATTCTATAGACTGGTGAGCCTGATACCAAGGGTGGGTAAGTTGTTGGAAAGGATTCTGAGGGACAGCATTTACATGTATTTGGAAAGGTAAGGACTAATTTGGGATAGTCAATGTGGCTTTGTGTGTGGGAAATTGTGTCTCACTAACTTGACTGCGTTTTTTGAAGAAGTGACAAAGAGGATTGATGAAGGCTAAGCGGTGGACATGGTCTATATGGACTTAATAAGGCTTTTGACAAGGTTCCGCATGGTAGACTGGTTATCAAGGTTAGATCACATAGAATACAGGGAGAACTAGCCATTTAGATACAAAATTGTCTCGAAGGTAGGAAACAAAGGGAGGTGTTGGAGGGTTGCTTTTTGAACCAGAACCCTGTGACTTAGTAGTGCACGACAAGGATTAGTGCTGGGTCCACTGCTTTTTGTAGTGGTGGAAGAGTGTTTTTCAGGCTGGAGATCCGTGGCTAATTGTGTTCCGCTGGGATCCGTACTGTGACCTCTGCTGTTTGTGATAAATATAAATGTCTTGAATGAAAATGTAGATGGGTGGTTAGTAAGTATGCAGATGATACAAAGATTGGTGAAGTTGTGGATAGTGTAGAAGTTTATCAAAGGATACAGTGGGATATGGATCAGTTGCAGAAATGGGCGGAGAAATGCCAGATAGATTTAATCTGGGTAAGTGTAAGGTGCTGCAGTTTGGGAGATGAAATGTTAAGGAAAAGTATACAATTAATGGCAGGACACTGACAGAGGGATCCTGGATTCAAGTCCATAGATCCCTGAAAGTGGCCATGCAGGTAGATAGGGTGGTAAAGAATGCATGTGGCATGCTTGCCCTTATTGGTCGGGGAATTGAGTACAAGAGCCAGGATGTCATGTTGCAGCTTTATAAGACTCTACAATGTGGAAACAGGCCATTCGGCCCGACAAGTCCATGCTGACCATGAGAGCATCCCATCCAGACCCATCCCCCTACAACCCACCTAATTTACACATCCCTGAACACTAAGGGCAATTTAGCATGGCCAATCCATGGCAGCAGCTATGTCAACATTGGTAGCATCATGGACAGATGTGGCTGCTGCTCAGGTTGATGTGCTGTCAACGGGTGTGTCATCTTTTGTCGATTTGGTGCACCAGAGCCAGCTAGATAGGTGTCAGTAATCGGAGGATTGAACCCTCTAATGGTGGAGGATAGTCACAGGTTGTCACAGAGACACCCCCACCACGGACCATTGAGCAACCATAAAGCTTCCTTTGCCATTTCCCACACCCGAGAGAACTGCTGAGAGGGAGCCTGGCTGTATTCCTGGAAGTTTAGCCATTGGGTTGGGGGTGCAATCTGATCGTAGTAGAAGACCGATGGGATTTTGTGTATCCAATGTTAACTCTACACACACAGGCACTTGGCTCAAACCAGGATTGAAGAGAAGTGTGGATAGCAGAATTTGACTGAACTCGGGGAAATTCCAATGGATTTCTAAACCATTGCCTGAACCTCTCAGCCGTATCCACAGACCCAAAAATGTCAGCAGGGTTGTGGTAAGTGATCGTTTAGTAGCTAGTCAATCTGCTCTGTCTCTGATCATTCAGAATATTCCATGGCAACAGGAAGACATCACATTTCCAGAGTGGCCTTTGTCTGCCATTTTAAAAGGTCTCCTGTTTCTCAACTCGTTTCCAGAGGGCTGGTAAAATCTAGCTCGACATGCTTAAAAAATATTTAATTAGCCTAATTAGATGTATAATGAAAGGTACAGCATAAATAACTCTTTATTTAGATAGATTTCTTGATATAAATTGGGAAACAATGGCAATATGTAAGAAAGACATGTCAATTGCCATCCATTCTTGGCTCTTCCTCTTCCTCACTTACATTCTAATTTCTTGCAAAATCGCCCATGCAAGTTCTGACTTGTGCACCAATGACTCCTAGTTCTATCTCTCTACTAGTTCTCTTCAAACTCCTTTGCCGCCAACCCCAACCCCCATCTCCCCGCGAACTACTACTGGATCGTTGGATTGTTTTTCTGATCATCCAGTCCTACATATAATGTCTGCCACTAAAGCATTAGGAAAAACTAACCCTTCAGTCCTCAACCCAAATATCATACATTAGTCACCAACTGCAACTTTATTCAACTTTATTCACTCTTGGTCGCAATTTAGGTTGACTCAGACAAGTTGTAATGTTGACATCCCGGTTTGGCTCCAGTCTTACATATTCTCTGATCACAATGGCCACTTACTTTGTACACATCAGCATACTGAGTGTATGTCAGAGCATTTTATTGGTCGAATAACATTTATGAACATTATAAAGTTGTGAAAGGTGCCATATAAATGCAAGTTATTTCTTTTTAATTCCAAAAAGTGCTGGGAATTTTGTCGGCCTTTAAAGGTTAACTTGCTGGCCAATCGGCACTTATGCCTCTAGTAGTGTAAATTCATGTGATTATTTGAAACTTGGCAACCTTGCATTTGTTCTGATGGATGCAACAATAAAGTCTTCAGCAATGTGTCTTTCTTTTCAGCAATGTCTGAGTTCTGTACCACTAAATAATTACTTTAAAGATGTTTTAGGAAAGGAAATGTTTCTTAGTTATGAAATATTGGAAGGGGGAAGGTATGATTTTAAATTACTCATCATTGGAAGATTGCATTTAAACAACCTGGAAAATAAAATTCACTATTTGTTCCGGAACTGTTATAAAATGGGAAATGCCTACAATGGTTATGGGATATCCACACAGCAGGACCAGCTAGGAGGCAAGCATTTTTACACTAGTGTGAGAGGGGAATTTAAGGAATACGGGGGAGATGTGCAGAAGGTGGAACT